CCCCCCCCCCCCCCCCATTGAGGCTTAATCCCCACTGTAACTGTTGAGGGTGGGAAATCCTATTATGGTAATTGAAAGGTGGGGCCTCGAAGAAGTGCTTAGATTGTAGGGCCATGCTGGAGTGAATGGATTAATGATGGTGGCCAGAGGTGTGGTTCTCAGGGCTTTAAAAGCAAAGCACATGAAGAGTTTTTCTCTTTCTGCTTCACCATTTTCTGCCATGTGAGAACCCTGGGTCACTGTCACCATCACCAAGACCCTCACCAGATGTGTTCCCTGGACTTTGGACTTTCCAGCCTCAGAAATTGCAAGAAATAAATTTTGTTTTCTTAAAAATTACGCAGTTCCCAGCATTTTGTTATAAGCAACAGGAATGGCCTAATACACTTACCTTGTTCGTGCTGGAATAACATTCTCAAAACCTTTGCCATCTCTTGTGCAATTCATGGGGTTCCAGCCAGCAGACAAGAGGGTTCTCCATGGCTCTTTCCTGTCTAACCCTATCTATATTCCTGACTTCCGCTGAGATGGTAGACTTGATCCATAAGTCACATGCCCAATCTCTAGCAAAAGGTGTCCAGCTACAGCCTTGCACTTTCCAGAGCATGCTTTCTTACAGTAAATTTCCTAATTTTTGCATCCTTCATAATCTGGACAGCCTGAGAACCTCCTAAATCTTCAAGTGCTAGCTCCTTTTTGCTTGACTGTTCCTTACTCAATGTATTCCTTTCCTCTCATGTTTTACTATAAGTGGCAAGGAAAAACCAGGCCATCCCTTCAATATTTTGCTTAGAAATCTCCTCAACTAGGGCAGGCTGGTTAGCTCAGTTGGTTAGAGCACGGTGCTGATTACACCAGGTTCCAGGCTTCTTTGATCCCTGTATCAGCCAGGTACAAAAAAAAAAAAAAGAAAGAAAAAAAAAGACCCCCAAAACAAACAAACAAGAAAACTCCTCGACTAAATATTCAGGTTAATCACTTATAACTTTTACTTTCCATCCAACAGCAGAACAAAATTTAGTCAAGTTCTCTACAACTTTATAACAAGGATTGCTTTTTCTCCAATATTCAATAACCATGTTCCTCATTTCCCTCTTTTTTTAAAAAATCTTATTTTCTTTCTTTTTTTTATTGAATCATAATTGATTATACATATTATTGGGGTTCATCATTGATGTATGTTGATCAAAACAATATTATTAGCATACATATTATTACAAATCATACTTATTCTGTATGCCCCTTATCCAATCTCTTCCCATCCCTCCCTCCCCCGGCCACCTCGGATAACCCTAGACTTCTTCTCTCCTTCTGAAAGAGTAACAGTAAGTCTGTTCATTTGTTGCCTAGGTGATCTCTTCGGAGCTGAGAGCGGTTTGTTCATGTCCCCCACTATTACCATAGGGTAGATACTTCTTCTGTCTCTCTGGAATGGGCTTTGTGGAGAGAGACATCCTTTTCTCTTCTTTGGTTTTAGCTGGTGATTCTCCTTGTGTCAATGCACTCCAGTGGCTGGAGGGACATCGGCATAGTGGTTGTGGAGTCTAGCTTCTTTTGTGGCAGCCATGGCTATTGTGGTTGTGGTGGGCCACCCACATGGAAGTGGTGTTTTGGCGTGCTCCTTGCCTGGTTGCAGGAGGAGGGGTTGGTCCCTGGCACCAAAAGTATAGTATATGCACCTTACCAGCAAAGTGAGGGTTAGCTCAAGGAGAAAGAGGGTAACAACCCTGCCTTCTGCCAGGATTCAACCTTTATGGCTTTGCTTTCTAATACATATTCATACCACCTAGAGAACATTCGACTAAGAGGGTGGTTGTCAGTTATGCAACATAGTCTTGCACATTTTCAGTTGGTCTCCTTTCAGGGCACATTTATTGGTCAAATCCTATCACACACACCAAACATATTCAAGAATATTCTAGAGTCATCTTGTGGCTCATTTGGGAGAGTGTGGTGCTGATAACACCAAGGCCAACGGATTCGGATCCCATATAGGGATGGCCAGTTAGCTGACTTGGGAGAGCGTGGTGCTGACATCACCAAGTCAAGGGATAAGATCTCCTTACCGGTCATCTTTCTTTTTTTAAAAAAAGAATATTCTGAGGTCTTTGGTGCCTCCAGTGGAAGGTCATTCAGAGGATAAACTCCCTTCCACTGAGCATGTTCAGTCACTGGATTTGCATAAGTGCACCCCTCGGGGTCTCAGTATTGTAGGTTGGTACCGAAAATAAGTGCAATAAACAACAGTAACCCTCCTCTCCGGGAGGGCCTAGAGGAGGGGCCTGAGACCTTGGGGAGTGTCTTGAAGCCCAGAAGTATATCCTGAAACCCCAACTGAAGGAAACTAAGCACTTGCTAGCTCAAAAGCAGCAGCAAGACTGGAGAAAGTTAAACTGTTAGAATCTCTTTCTCCCAGCCCTTGCTGGTCCCTTTGTGGACTTTGAGCTAAGCTCCTCGCAGACTGAGCTTCAGAGATTGGAGGCCAGCAGCAGAGGTGGCCGCTGTCCAGGCCCTTCCATCTGTCTCCTCCACCCTCCCCAGTTCCCTTCTGCCCTCCGTGTGTGGGAAGTACCGGTGGGAGTCCCCGCCCTCCACAGGGGGAGTGTGATAATAAATGTTGAATGTGTTATGTATTATTTTTTAATATTTCAATATTACTCACATCTATAAGGTATATAGTATCAAATACGAGGGGGTCTCCAAGAAGATCATGGGGGAATTAGTAGTATCTTTTAGGTCAATTCACTTTTTTCTTCTTCGTGGCTGGCACGTAGGGGTTCAGGTATCCGAACCCGTGACCTTGGGGCTACAGGCTGCACTCTGACCAGCCGAGCTAACCGCTCTGCATCGGCTTCCCAAATTTCGTGAAGTTCCCTCATAATTACCGATGGACAAATCAACCAACTAATGCTGTGATGAAAGTTGTCGCTTCCATTAGAACACAGAACGATAGGACCCAGAGCTCTCTGGGCTTCAATTTCTCTAGGTTCAAATTAAGAGGAAATACCCGATTTGGCTTGAGGAGTTCTAGTAGTGAGAAGCCAAAATTTAAGCGAGTACTTGTTCCGAGTTCAAAACAACAGGACTTTTTTCCCATACCGGGAGTCGAACCCGGGCCGCCTGGGTGAAAACCAGGAATCCTAACCGCTAGACCATATGGGAACTGCCGGCCAAACGCTCTCCGTCGCTGAACACGTCACTTGCCGCAGCGAGGCCGCCCGCCCCCTACCGCGGCTGCGCGCCGCAGCGCTGGGCCTGCCTTTGCGGCGACTCGTCCTGACTGCGGCTGCGCGAGCCCGGGCGGACCGCACCCTTTTCCTGACTCGCCCGAGAGGGACCAGCCCCCTCTTCTGGCAGGAGAATCCGCCTCCTCTGGGTGGACTGTTCGGGAGACTTCCAGGAGGGCTGGAGTCAGGGCGGAAGTCAAGACGGCGTGTTAATGACTTGGCTGAGCGCTTGCTGTCTTCACCAACCCCATTTCCAGAGGGGCGCGGTCTCCCCAAAAGAGTTCATCAGCACCCGGAACCCAACTTCACACAGTCAATGAGAGCAGGCTTGCGTCTGTCTGACCCAGGACATCGACTGACTCCTAACATCCACGTAAAGGAAGGGGTGGCCAAATACTCCGTTAGTTAGAGCGTGGTGCTAACAAACCCAAGAACGAGGGTTCTATCCCTGTTCGATCCCAGCCAGCCGCCAAGCAGTAAAAGTAAATAAATCAACATAAAGGACGCAGCTGGGGCCGGCGTTCCACGTTAATCTCTTCCTCCCAGAATTCATGGTCAAAGCAGAAACTGAATGTGTTACTTATTACTTACTTCAAAATTTCACTAGTCGGCACTTTGTTGATAGGATTTTGTTATAAAACTCAACCTTTGTATGGAGAAGGGAGAGAGATCCTTTTTAACCCCGGGAGGAGGGGGTCCATCCATTTTTGTTCTTTTATTAAGCTTTTTACTGGCAACTCAAGCTCAGCGTGGTTGAAAACTTACCCCCATCCCACTCCTACTGCAATTCTGCCCTACCAGGATTCAAGCAAGTGTCAGATTCAAGAATTAAAAGTGTGGTACCGGTGTACTAACTGACAGTAAAGTTAATTGACAGTAAGGTCAGTGAAATACAATAGAAGCTCCAAAATTAGAGTGGGTTCACACCGGGAAGAAACAAAAAAGGTGTGTAAAGCTACACGACTATGCCAATCATGAAGCTAGGCAACTACACCAGTTGTCGGGTTGAGGCAATAGCTATGCTAATTGTATGGCTAGGCATTTCATAAATAAGCCAAAATGTTTCATTATTTTAGTAATAAACCCATTGTACAGACCGGGTCACAGACCCCTCACACGCAGGTCCATGCTAGGTAATTGGGAAAGATCCCAGGAGCCATTGGCAGATGACACAAACTCAGTCCTCAGCAGAAGCGGCAGTGGCAGTGGCCTCTCTGGGCATCCTAGGGGCACTGGCAGCAACAGCTTGCAGCAAGTCTCCAGCAGCAGTAGCGGCCTCCCTGTGGCCCCCAGGGGCATCCCAGGGGCGGGGACCCCGTGGATCAGAACCACTCATCCTTTATACTTAAGTCCATAACCCAGGACACTTGGGTGCACATGTGCAATTACATTAAACAATAACCAAGGAACACCCGGGCCCACATACATATTTACATCAAATGCTTGGCAAGATTCTGAACAACTGAGGGGTCATAACTACTTTCCTGTATTTTCCCTTCAAGGTGCCTATCAAATCAGGAGTGGGGTAGGTGAATCAACACACAGTATGTGGACAGATGTGGGACTCAACCAATACCCCAATTAAAACCACAGAAGTTCTTGAAGGTGGTGGAGAATTCCCTTATCACCTCATCAATTACGACGCCAAATCCAGAAATCATATAACAGCTGATTGCTAAATTCAACTCTACTTTAAAAATTGATTTAAAAAACATAAGAGCTGGGTAACAGTTACTATAGCACTTACCTTAGTTATTAAGTTATTCAATTGTTTGGTGCAATTTGATGTGTTTTATTTTACAATGAAAAGTTAAAAACACTATGCAAAGTGAAAAGACTTAACTGGGAAAAATATTTACATCTTATATTATGAACAAACAACTAATTCCCCCCAAAACATAAAGAGCACCTAGAAATTGCTAAAAAGATTGATAACCCAGTGGAAAAATGAAACAAGAACACAGATTTCCCAGAACAAAAAACACAACTGGCCCTTCAATAAATGAAGACTCCACTCCTAGAAGGATAAAGGCAGGGTTTTTTAAAACCTGGAAGTTCTCTTTCTAGAGTTCCCTTGCAAATCTGTCAGATCTTTTTTATTTACTGGTTTAGACCCTGCCAACCGCTGCCCATCTACTCAGGTGTTTGTGTTGTTATTGATTCAAATCAATGTCCTGATCTGTCAGCTGTGTATGGTTTTTTCCTCCATCAAAGTCAGTTTTGAGGATCTAGTGAACCTGCAGCACTACTTCTTGTCCTTCCCCACCACTGTTTGTGCAGTCTTTCATCATTCGGTAATGAAACCATAGCTGAATGATCGATGAAGTTGTTCCGATTGTTCACTAAAGTGAAAAGCTTTGCATCAGTTGGTGTGTCCTGTAAGAACACAAACCTAGAAGTCGTTTCAAAGGAATGGCTTTCAACATTACTCATTGTGCCTCTTCAAACTTCACACCTAACAAAGTCGGAAACAAGCAGTCCAGGGATGGGGGTAGGGGCAGGGTCTATTTGTGAAGGAAGAAGGGCTGACATAAGGCAGCCACATCTGAGAACAGCTGTGCTCACTGTCCTGTCTCTGTGGACGCAGGTCAGGCAGCCCCAGGCTCAAGCTGCTTGAGTTTCTCTTGGAGTACCCGGAACTGGCTTCGACCCCAGTTGATGCGGATCTGGAGGTTGGCTATGTCTGCAGCCAGCTGTAGGCCTGGAGGAAAAGGAGAAAATGTCACCATGGTATTTGTGGTATGACACACGACCCAGGTGGCTCTGGACACCCCCAGGAACTGGGAAAGCTCCAGGCGTCTCTGGCCTCCACACTGTTGCTGAAGCATTCCAGGTATGGCTCTGCATTGACTGCTCCAAAACTTCACTGAACCCACTCTCTCATCTCCTTCAGGTCTTTGTTAAAATGTCACCCCCTCCTCAGAAGACTTCCTTGACCCCTTTATATTACTCACCAAAAACTAAAAACTCACAGATCATGACTTCTCATGCCCTCCCTTCCTTCCTTCTTCCACTATCACAGTCCCTCACTACTCTCACCCACTCTCCCTCCTCCTTTTCTCTGCTTCCGAGTGGTCCATTCTGGATCCACCTCTAGGTGGCTTTTGCCCTAGGATGTCTCTGCTGGAACAGCTGCTGTCTAATCCTCTGGGCAGTCCTTAGCCTTCAGCCTCCTTCTTGGCAGCAAGGCTGACCACATATCTCATCACTCCCTATAGGAAATGCTTTCTCCTCTTGGCTTCCAGGACACCCTGCCCTGTGGGTGCTTTTCAGTCTCCTCGACCCACTCCTCTGCTTCCTCTCTCTCACCTCCCATCCACACTCCCCGGCCCTCTACTAATCTCATCCTGTCTCAGCTTTAACCCTGCCTCTGTGTCAGCAACTTGGGAAATTAAACACCAGTGCTAAGCAGTGGACTCCCAATATCTCTTTAGCCCAGGCCTCTCCCAAACTCCAGATGTGTGTGCCCAACCGCCCACTCAGACTCTCCACCTGGGCATCAGTGGACACTGCACGACACATGGGACACACCCACAGCACACATTCACCTCCCAACTTCTGCTTAGCTGCAGCCCACAGCCTGCCCACAACAGGTGACGGTAGCTCCATCCTCCCAGGGGCTCTGGGTGGAGACCGTGGGCTCTCCTTGACTCCTCTCCTTCCCTTACTCTCACACACGATGTCAGCAAATCCAGGAGCTTCTATTTTCAAAATGTGTGCTGGTTCCCACTGCTTACCCCACCTTCACTGCCTCCACCTTTGTCTCACATGCCTGGCTGCTTCCTGGCACCTGCTTCCTTCCTCTGCTATCCAGTCTGTCCCCACCCAGGACCCAAAGGATTCCTATTACCCTGTGAGTCTGACTGCACCACCCTCTGCTCAGAGCCACCCTGTGACTCCCAAAGTCCCCATCGGGGGCCTACAGCACTCGGGCCCGGGCCCCCTAATCACAGCTCCTGGCACTCCTGCTGTGCTGACTCCACTTCAACCCACTGGCTTCCTCTCTGCTTTTCCTCCAACACACCAGACATCTCTCGTCTCAGGGGTTTTTCCCTGCCTGGTCCCACTGCCTAGAACCCTGTTCTCTCAGACCACTCCTGTCCCACTCCATCCTGTGTTATTTTTTTCATAATTTTCACAGCTTGGCATTGTAGTACAGCCTACTCATTTATTGTCATGTTGTCTTTCTTCTCTCCATAGAATAAACCACCCATGAGGGTGTCTGTCTCTTTTGTTCTCTACTGTATCCCCAGCAGCTAGCAGGAACCTGGAACGCTGCCAATAGCCAATAAATACTTTTGGAAAAAACAGCACGTGTTACAAAATCTCGCAACGGAGAAAACCTGCAATGCCCATTGCAGACTATCTCCTGCCATGGCATTATTGCTCCAGTGCTCACTGTGGATAGAGGGTCCAAATTTAGTTCCGGGCCACGTGGCCAACAGATGGGATTTACTCACCATTCCGGAAGCTGGCTTGGGCCTGCCGCAGACTGTGAGGAACCAGGATTCCGAACCAGTTAAGAGGGTCCTGGGGAGTCGCAGAGGGCTCTGGCTCTAGGGGCCTGGTGGGGCCTTTGCGCCTGCGCAGAGCTAGAGAAAGAAAGCGTGGAGGAGGCTAGGGTCTTTACCACCTTGCTCTTATTGTCCTGGTGAAAATGCTGAGCTTGATCTGAGCTTGTGACTCTGGAAAACAATGTTGGTTTGAAAATCTCCCCAACATTTTGTGTTCTGGGAAACAACTAACTGCAAAGCACCACCCTCTGACACCACCCTCGTGAATCAGATGAAACTGTCTATTCTTTCTCGTGACTCCCGTAAGTCCCACAGATGTCCCTGTTGGCCTGTGACAAGGCCACACATTGACCTTATCCATTTTGCCTGAACGTGCGGAAGGGCCAGACACAGACTCTCCAACTCCCTGTTCTTTGTCTGGGAAATGATTAACTGGGATTAGTTTGTCCCTCAAACTAGCTAGACACAGAGATGAGCATTTTCTGTTGGGCTTACTGAGACTAATTGCAAAACAATCCCACCTATAACTTCTCTAATCCTTCCTATAAAAGTCTAGACAAAGCCACCCTACTAAGACATTCTGATCTTCAGCTCTGGGATGTACCGTCTATTGTAAAATCCTGAATAAAGTCATGTCCTCAGTCTTTCTGTGCATTTTGTCTTTGACATCGGGAAAGGGACTCACCTGCCTCGCGAGGCCCCACCTCCTCCGGGGTCTGGGCGCCAGCTCTCACCACCCTGAACTTCTCGAGTCCGTCCTGGGCCTCGCTGAAGGACGAGAAGGGAGGTTGTCCCTCCGGCAGCCCGGGCCCGGACCCCTTCACCGCCCCTCCACCCCTCCGCCCCGGCTGCAGCGTCTCAGGTTTCTCACCTGGCGCGGACGCAGACCTGGGGCTCCATGTGGGCGGCATACTGCAGGGGCCCTACCGACTTGGCACCCATGGCGTAGCGAGCCTTGGCGAGCGAGAGCCAGCCCTGGAGAGAGAGCGCAGAGCAGTGAGACTGAGTTCACGTCCGTGGGCGCTCCCGCCCGTCCCAGAAGCCCACCTCCTCCACCCGGGCGTTCAGCGCCGCCCGCTTCGCCTCCAGCTCCTCCAGGTCCCCGAGCAGCTGCAGAAGCAGCGAGTCCAGGTCCGCCCGCAGTTCCGCGGCCGCCATGGTCTGGTCACACTCGGGTCACAGGTAGGCTGAGGCCGGTTCTGGAGCCACCTCCGTCCAGCACGACAGCCAATCGGCGCACGCGACCCGCCCTCAAGGGGGCGTTCCCAGCCGTGCGCCGCGACGCCCACGGTGTCGCCGCTGCCCACCTCCTTTAAGTGCAGTCGCCCTCAGGAAAACAGCACCGAGGGTTTGGTTATGGGGTTTCTCCAGTTAGCGCCCCAAGTGCATCAGCCCACCGGACTGTCGGGGAGGGTTCCCAGTCGCTTCCGAAGCGGCCGCATTTTAAAAGTCGGGCTACCGTTCTGGCGATGAAAGAGGGCGAAGCTGTACGGGAACCATTTTGATTAAGGGAGGAGTTGCAGAAAGCGCGGGCCGGCAGCCTCTCGGTCAGCCGTTGTGTCGCTTTTGTAGTTGGTGGACTGATTCGAACCGCCAATTATGACGGTTTTAGCGGCTCCTCATCTTAACATCGGGCATCCTGCACGGTGGTGGGCGGTGGTGAAGCTGTGGGCGGACATCTTTATTAACGGCTGTGGCAAGCCACGTGACAGCATCCTGACTCCGATCTATTGGTTGCTCCAACGAGCACGCGCCGCCGGGTTGGCCCCCAGCTCTTCGCCATCTTAACTTTGGGCATGGTCTACAGCAACAGACACTAGTAAAGCCTGTAGCGACCTTCTTTGTCGAGGGCGGAAGCGAGGGCTGCGTCGCGCAGGCGGTGCACATAGATTCTCCTAGACTCACGTGGGAACGGCGACCAGGATGGTAGGAGGGTTGTCTGCGCCCTTGTTTTGCGGGTGGGGGTTCGCGGAGGGCTGGGGATGTCGTCCTTGTGGTTCCGGAGCGGGTGGTGACTGGGCCCACTGTTCCCCAGCTGCGCCGCGAGGCCCGCCTGCGCCGCGAGTACCTCTACCGCAAGGCCCGCGAGGAGGCGCGGCGATCCGCCCAGGAGAAGAAGGAGAAGGTCCGGCGAGCGCTCGAAGGTACGGCCGCCCAGCCCCGGCGAGCAGGGCGAGTCATTGCAACGACCGTGCACTGCATTTTAAAATCCGACGGCATAAAACGCGTTTAATCAGTATTTGTTTGTGTTAATGTGGCTGAGCATCTTTTCAAGTATTTGCTGGCCGTTTTCCTTGCCTCCTGGGTTCTGTTGCCCAGTCCTACGATGGTATTGATTACTTGTCATTTATGCTGCAGTATCCCGGTTTTACCGCTTGCTTCTTAACTTTATTTACAATGTGTCCAGGTTTTCCCCCATTTCAAAATTTTTACGTGCTTCTACAGCTATTCCCCGTTTTTTCCTCATTTTCATTTGCCACATTAAGGAAGAGTCTGTGTCACACATGCCTGATTGGAAATGCCATATTTATCCCTGTTTTGTTGGTTCTTGTGTCAGTGGAGCTTTGTGTTTCCTATCTGATGGTGTATCACCCCTAGTATTTCTGATTATCTTAAATTCGCCTTGATGTTCCTAGGTTTTGGGCCTATCAGTGTGTATGGTGCGGGTAGGTATGTTTAAGTTAAGAAGCGTAATGTTAAACACCTGTGACCCATCTACTTAAATGAAAAATGATCAATACATTGAAATTCAGGAATATTTTCCCCAACTTTGATAACCACCATATTGAATATTGTTTAGAAATAAACCATTTTTTTTGCTGTACTTTGTGTTTATTTTACATTAATTTGTGTCCAGTAATCATATTAGTCAAGTTTTAGTTTTAAAGGTGGAATTAGGTTTTATGTGTTCCTTTGCACTTTTATTTTTCCATTCAGAATTGTTTGTAGATACTTCAAGTGTAGCGGGAGGCCACTGCAAGTGAAAATTCCACAGTCTTCATCCATTTTCCCGTGGGTGGCAGTGAACTTGTATTTTCAGTTTGGGGTATTTTCAGTTTGGGGTAGTTAGGAACAGCGCTGCCGCTGTGAACATGCTCTTCCGTGTGCAAGAGTTCCTCCAGGGCGTGCTGGAGAGCAGGGCTGGGTCCAAGGGTATGCTCACGTTGTGGGCATGGCCACAGTGCAGCCCCTGTGCCCAGCCCAGCTTTGTTGACAGAGGAACCTCTGAGCTAGCTGAGGCCATGGGCCTTGAAGCATTCTGTGCATCATGACTAGCAGTTTTGCTGTCTGACTGTTTCAGGGTCTCTGATTTACCTTCATACATAAGGAGCAGTCTATGTTTCTTTGAAAGTGAGTTTTAAAATATTTGTTTGGCTATATAAGCATTATGTACTTGTGATAAAATATTTTAGAAAGCTCTCATCATGAGATTCAAGAATTCAAGAACTGTAGAAAATGAGGTCTTCAGTAACCACTGTTCACAGGTTGGCATGTAGACAAAAAAAAAGTTTTTTCACCTGTCTTTCTCCCTTGTTTCACCTCTGTTCAGAAAGGAGAAAAGTATTTTTCCTTTAAGCTTGTACAGGCTTGTAAGCAGCAGAGTATTTTATAAACTGAGGGCTCCATGCTTGTGTCTCACTCAGTCTGTCTTCTCTCTGCAGAAAACCGCCTTATTCCCACCGAGTTACGCCGAGAGGCTCTGGCCTTACAGGGGTCCCTGGAGTTCGATGACGCCGGCGGTGAAGGTGACTGTGTGCTCTGTGGCCACCCCTCCTCCACCCTCAAGTCCTCCCTGCACTTGAGTCCACTGGCCACCTTATCCTTCCTCAGACTGTTTGGCACTTTCCCTCCTGAGGAAACTGTCCACAGCAGCTGCTCCTGGAGCAGACCCTCAAATGCTGTTGTGTCTGCACAGACGGTACCTCAGGGGCTCTGCCTGAGTGCTCCCCGTTCCATTTATATGGCACACACAGTAGCACCCCACTTACTCAATACTGGTCACGAGGAAAAGGAGTCTGTCACCTTTGGCCTTAGCATAATCTGGACTTGTGCTAACACAGAAGCCACTAGCCCCATGTCACTAATACAGCTTAAGTGAACTACAGTTAAACGAAATGAAAGATTCCATTCTTCAGTCATGCTTGTGCTTGGTAGACAGTGTGGCTGGTGGCTGCCCTCTTGCCCCGCGTGGGTATTCCCATCATTGTAGGCTTCATCAGACAGTGCCATCTGGATGGACTCAGCTGCCCTCCAGTTAGCATTTCACTCCCACGACAATATTGCATTCTTGTCTCTCATGTGTCTGACAGGTGTGACCAGCCATGTGGATGACGAGTATCGGTGGGCAGGGGTGGAGGATCCCAAGGTCATGATCACTACCTCCCGAGACCCCAGTTCTCGCCTCAAGATGTTTGCAAAGGTACTAGAGGGTTAGGAATGAGTGGGGACACCCGGGACAAGTGGGCCCGGTCCTGACCAGACACGAGTCTACATGCAGGAGCTGAAGCTGGTGTTCCCAGGAGCTCAGCGCATGAACCGAGGCCGGCATGAGGTGGGGGCACTGGTACGAGCCTGCAAAGCCAACGGGGTCACTGACCTGCTCGTGGTGCACGAGCATCGAGGCACACCTGGTGAGGATGGAGGGAGGGAGAGGGGACGAGCGGGGCAATCTCGGGGCAGATGGAGTCTCTGACAGCCTGCCTGGCCCCACCAGTGGGGCTTATTGTCAGCCACCTGCCCTTTGGGCCCACTGCTTACTTCACACTGTGCAACGTGGTCATGCGGCACGACATCCCCAACCTCGGCACCATGTCAGAGGCCAAGCCCCACCTCATCACACATGGCTTCTCTTCCCGCCTGGGCAAGCGGGTGAGTCTGGGGCCCTGGGGTGAGGGCTGGGGGCCAGGCCAGGCATTTGCCAAGCTTCTTTGTGCCCCAGGTCTCTGACATCCTCCGTTACCTGTTCCCTGTGCCCAAAGATGACAGCCACCGGATTATCACCTTTGCAAACCAGGATGACTACATCTCGTTCCGGTGGGTCCATGTGGCCTTGGGATGGTGGCCCTCATGCTGCTTGTTGCTGACCCACTGCTGCTTCCAACCCACACCCCTGTCCCGGCTCCCTCTCCCCAGGCACCACGTGTATAAGAAGACAGACCACCGCAACGTGGAGCTGACTGAGGTCGGGCCTCGCTTTGAGCTGAAGTGTGAGTTTGGGGCTTTATCCCACGTTTTGGGGAGGGGAGAGGGAGGGAGGGGAGGCTGGCTCTGCAGGTGATGACATCTCAGTCTCCTTCCCTGTAGTGTACATGATTCGCCTGGGCACTCTGGAGCAGGAGGCCACAGCGGATGTGGAGTGGCGCTGGCACCCCTACACCAATACTGCACACAAGAGGGTCTTCCTGAGTGCTGAGTAAGCCTGCTCACCAGTCAGGACATGGACTTGGAACCTGGGAAGGTGGGGCTTGTCACAGACAGGCCCATCAAGCTCAGGTGTGGGACTGTGAGTGGGGGAGGAGTGCTAATAAATCTCTGTATCATGTTGCCCCTCCTGCCTCTAAGTGGTCCAGACAGGCTTGCTATTGGGCTGTGCCTGAAGGATGAACCCCATGGGGTGTCTTTGGTCAGCGGTCCTGATGGCTGTGGGACATACTTGGGCCCGGTGTTGATGTGGGGATTAATGTAGTCTTGTCTGGAACTCTCCAGGCTCACCCCTTGGAGATTTGGTGCTGATGTCCCCTCGGGAGTCAGAGACCATGGAGTACTCATTGGACGGTGGACTTGGGCAGTAGGGCCAGGTCATGTCAATGGCAGCACGCTGAGTTTACTCTGAGTTTGAGCCACTAGTGGACTCACGTAGAGGGAACAGGCCCCACTCACTGTTCAGCAAGATCCCTCCTCTATCCTGGGCAAGGGAGTGCACCTTCCCTCCATTCACTGGGGACCACTGATTTCGAAGGACCGCCTTGTGCCTACCTCCAGCTCTACCATGGCACAGGGGTTACCCAGAGTCACACAGGAAGGGCCATTGCGGTTCAGGGAGACTGGGGTCTCCCCCTGTTTCTCCACACTTATCCCCTCTCTCTGCCCATGTTCTCTGTGTGAACACAAAGGATCTGGATCCATACAGAGCAGGTATGAGTATCTAGACACTGCACAGTGCTCTCAGGTTTACAGAGAGG